AGTGCTCACCAACTGATCTTGCAGTTACCACACATTGGGAGGGGGGTAGCATGGCAGCCCGAATTTGGTTTTCCAGGTAGGACTACAAATGCTCAATTGGATTAATGTCGGGTGAATTTGGAGGCCAAGACAGGACTTAAAAGTCACTGGAATGTTCCTCGAACCACTCCCTGACAATTTGACCCTTATGACATGGTGCATTATCCTGTTGATAAACACCGTGCCCCGCCAGAAATACTGTTGTTGTGAATGGAGGAATCTGGTCTGCAAGGTCATTCACGTAGCACACAGATTGTTTTATGGGGATTATGGGTCCTAATGTGCTCCATGAAAACACTACCCATATCATAATACCCCCATTTCCATTCAACTATGCATCCAGGAGCCAGAGCTTCGCTTGAAAATTGGCATATCAGCACATGCCCATCAGTGTGATAGACCAGAAAACATGATTAGTCGGACATGCAACTTTCTTCTATTCTTCTAATGTCCAATTCTGATGATTCTTGGCCCATTGTAGATGCAGCTGGCGATGACGTGCCGTCAGTGCAGGTATATGTTTCGGCCTCCGGCTGCATAGGCCCATACGCATCAATTTAGGCTGCACAGTGTCTTGAGGAACACTGTTGGGGTCGCCACTTCTGCAGCTGGTGGTGATTTCAGCTGTTGTAGCTCTTCGGTGATGGCGAACAATGCATAGCAATTTCCTCTGTCCTCTGGAATCTATATGCCCTTGACAACACACTGTTGACTGACAAGTTGTCGTTTCACCATTCATACACAACTTTTGATATGTGCTTATTACAACTGCACGTGAAGAACCTACTAAACGCGCTGTTTCTGATATTGATGTCCTCACTCACCAAGCCATATCGATCTGACCTTTATCAAAGTTTGATAAATCAGCTGCTTTTCCCATTATGTCGCTAATCGCATTATGTTTGGGAAAACAATGCTTAGCCACTTTGTATACTTCAACATCAGCCGTGCATATACAGTGGTTTTTTCCTGGGTGAGGCCATTGTTATAGATGAAGGATGGTCATAATGTAATAGCTTTTCGGTGTATAAAGCATGTGTTAAGTAACTGTAAATTTAACTGTTAATGTTATTCAAGCATCTACTCCCCTTTGGGCTATATGTCACGTCACCACTCTCACACTTTGAGCATTCTAAATTATTGTGTAGGTAATGTTGAGGGAAGACTGTGTTAAACCTGTTATGTATGTTTATACAATACAGAGTCTGAGATCCGGATGTCCAATATCCGGAATGATCTAAAATCTGGACATCAAAGCAACCAACTTTTTTTAATTTAATTTTATTTATTTATTTTTTTATTTTTTGTATGCTTTACGTATGAGCATTTGATTCTACCCGGTAATAAAACATGTGGAGAGTCCCGATTCTTAATTTCACTTTGGCAGTAAATAAAATACCTTGTTATTGGAGAAACAATCATTTTAGAATAAATATGTGTGATCAATAATTTGGCTCCATTGCTGCATATCTGTTTGCCATACATCTTAAACCAAAACATTCTACATATATACATCATTGATTTTACCCCACTAATATTTTATATCTCTGATGCGAACCTGGCAAATTTTATTTATTATATTTTGTTTTCATCTTTGCATGTTTATCAATGCATGACAACTTGAGTAATGACTCATGTAGCTATGCCTAAACAATTTTTATATTACTAATTAAATAATAAAGAGTATAGTAACCTTTTATGTTGACATTATGCTTTGCAATGATTACAGACTTAAGTTAAATGCACTAAGACTTGTTGATGAGGAAAAATTTAACAAAAATTTTATTCCATTTGTTAAAAATAGATTTTGTTAATGATACTCATAGGCCAAAAGATTACATTTAGGGCTATTTGAATTAAGAATAACTGATTTGTTATTCACATAAACCCAGAATCAGCACAGGGCTTATATGGCTGCCCTGGACAGTAGAATTTAGGGAATACAAAAGGAGGTGTTTGGTAGCAGAATTTAGGACCCACAGGGACTGCATCAGGTGGTAAGATATCTCTAGCACCGGCCCTCAATAAGGCTTAAGTACTATATGTGGTTTAAGTATTATATTTATTTACGATCAGAACTCTAATAAGCCTTAAGCATGTGCAAGAAATAGACATGAGTATAATAAATAACTAAACTAATACAATTCAGGCTTAATTGTCTCACTACACGATAGAAGCAAGATAAAATTTAGCGGAACAACTTTTCATTAATTGCCAATCCCATGACACATAGCCAGATATGTATAGTGAACGATAGCTAAATTTTATGATGATAGTCGTGAATTTTAAAGGTTTTCGGATATCGCAAACCAAAGGTGAAATTTTCCAATTAATGGATTTTGTAAAGAAGTGTGGAGAAGCGGTAATAAATGGAGATGATATAAAAGTTTGTTTTTCATTGTCAAAACAATGTTCCTCAATTGTCAATCAATTAATGGATGGCAAAATCTGTAGCATGGTTCTAGATCCAGACAATACCCGCTACCAATAGTGAAGAAAGTGACAGAGAGGTTACTGAAAACAAAAAAAAAATTTGATTGACAAGCTGGAATTCACACAGCAAATACAGGACTTCAACAATGCAACAATGTGACAACAAGAAATTATGTCTTTCTATGGAATTAAAGAGAAAGTATTAGCACATAAACGAAGCAACTTAAACAACTTGCATTGAAAAAAATTTTTAATGAAATAAACAAATAAATATTGTTTTGTAAATTTTGATACCCTTTAGATCATAAATGCTTCTTTAGTTCATAAATCATGATTTTATATTTTTAATTTTATAATTTCAACATGCCATCTTGCTAGATTTAAACTGATGATCTAATAACTGGAAAAAATCCTCAATCCGGAATTGTAGAAGTCCCGGCGAGTCCAGATTTCTGACTTTGTACTGTATAAACTTATAATTATGTTCAGTACTAACACACTAAAGTTTTCTTTTGATAAAGTATATTAATTTTTTACAGAGAGAGTTTTTTGAAAAATCCTGATAATGTGTTTTAAATGTCTACATCTGCAGAGTGTTTCTTTAAAGCAATATTATTTTTAACAAACTTGTTTTAAAAATGTTTTCAAGTTTAAAGCAGAGTTATTGCTGCAGAGAGATGAGAAAGTATGCACTTATTGATACTTGTTTGAAGCTGACTATAGTAACCTTTCATTCAGTCTCACTGATTACTCCTTATGAGTTCATGTCAAGTGAGGTTTTCCTGTGCCAACTGAAACAGCATTTAAAATATCTGTAACCTTTCATTCAATCTCACTGATTACTCCATATGAGTTTATTCCATATGAGTTCATGTCAAGTGAGGTTTTCCTGTGCCAACTGAAACAGCATTTAAAATATCTTTAACCTTTCATTCAATCTCACTGATTACTCCATATGAGTTTATGTCAAGTGAGGTTTTCCTGTGCCATTTGAACACTAAAGTTGTATGCATGGTGTCTGAATGGGTGTATAATATTCCCAAATAGCATTCATAGAGATGTGTGTATGAAATGTTTTAGAAGATATTTTTAAATAGGTCTACAATATATTTTATTTGTTTTAATGATTCTGATTTAATATTTTTTTTAACCCCATGCAATAAATAAATGGTGTACTTTTAGAAAATGGTACAATGATTGTTTCACAGAACTTGAGTTAAACTTTTACACATTGTTATTACATTTTATTACTGTGTATATAAATTATCAGTTAAATTTAAACATTATTACTGGTACTGTATTTTAGGAAATTGTCATGAATTTGAATAAAGATTTCAGCTTGAAATTACACTTCATCATAATAAGGAAGGCAAGACGTTAAATGACAGAAAAGAATGAACTTTTTTCTGTGGTTAAAAATACACTTGAGCATATATAGGGTTTTAGGAAAATATTATATACCCCTGTAACTTTTGTATGTTATGTCATAATGCCACAGAAGTTATGTGATAGGTGGAAAAAGTGTGCAGTTAAGTATCCTTGTAAGGGGCAAAGGTCAAAATATGGAATGTTAAAAAGTTAACTCTGAAATCAACAGAAAGAGACAAAGTCTTCTAATTGTAAACTGAAAAAGCACAAGATAGTTTGTAATTCAACCAAACCATTAACAAAAATATGTATATAAAAAAAGTAAAAAAATGCATAGAGTATCGATGTGAGTATCGATGCAAGTATCGATGAAAACGGTTTTCTGGTAACTATCATGCAATACTACGTAAAAACTAGAATATAATAGCTATAGAAAAGTAATTATATGAGTATAAGATACCACAGCTTCATGTTAAAGTTTTAGCATAAAACAGCTGAAGGCGATTTATTGATGATTAGTCAGATGGTACAACTTAATGACTGTCTTTACACGATTGGTGTTATGGTATGAGATTTATTTGAATGTCAGCTAAATATTTTTTAAAAACGTAGAACTACAAGTTTTTATAGCCTACAAAAATGTGTCCAGATTAAAGTGAAAACATTGTATCTTCAATAACTATGTTCTTGTTATATCCCAGGTGCTAGAAATTTTTCTCTTTATTGATATAGATCTTTCTGTTGAAATATGCATTGTTATATTGTATTAATTAAACACCACTTTCATTTTTTAGTATGAAGTTTTCCTCAAGTCTGTGTTGCTTTAGCATTTATTTTTCTACGATCCATATTTAGTTATTTGGGATGTTCATTTGGCTGCACATGTCACTTTCTTTTAAATTAACTTTTGTAGTGCTATGACACAACACTAAAAATTATAGAGGATATACAGTTTTTCTAAAACCCTGTATACAATGTATAAAAATAAATAAAAAATGGACCATTTGTAATCAAAATAAAGAAAATATGAACAATTATTATTTGTTTTGCATCCAAGATCCCACTTTACAAAATCCCCACATAATTGCTAAATACATTTATCTTCATATTCTGTATATAATTACACTTAAAAATCAAACTAAAAGCATTATTTATTACAGCCATTTAGAAGGACCGTACGTATTTGACAAAGGCCTCACATTTAACAATTCGAATAGCCAAATAAGCAGCTGCCATTGTGGGAAGCATCTTTTCCCTAGGAAATCGACACCTGACAGTGAACGAGGACTTCAGAACATTGGTTTAGTCAATGGGGATAGTAAAAAATGCTGGTAACTAAGTTTTTCCTAATGATGCATTTATACCCTGCGTGACTCTTTTGCTTAGACTAACAACCTTGCGTCTAGTTTTATGGAATTTCTGAAAAGATAAAGAATAGTTTTAGTGAATAAAGCATGGTTTGAAAATATTTTTGATATATTCATTTTGAGTTTCCTTTTAAAATAAGGATGCTCTGCAAAATCAGTTATTCGTTGCTGTGCATTTAGTGGCTTATTAATTTGTTTGCATAAAATGCATCTATTTGGTCATGTAAATCTCTACTGTAGTTTTAATTTAAAATTAACTAATAGAACTTATTTTTAAAAATTTACTTGCTGTTAAAATATTTTTTGATATGATTCTTAAAATTCAGTATAAAGAATTCTTTTCTGAGCACTGTGTTAATTATGAAATTAAAACTGCTTATCAAAGCCTAAATGCCTTTTTCTATGTGCTGGCATTGTGATATATATGTATTTTCCCATTAAAATATCACTTTTATCACATCTTTATGCAAATTTGAAGTGAATAGAATGATAGTTCTGTATATTTTGTAGTTATGTCATTTCCTAATTTGAATGCTTTGAAAATATTCTCTGCAGGAAAATTTAAATGATTAATAAATTTACTGAATTAAAAAAAAAAGTTACTGCTTTGTTAATGTTTTTGGCAGTTGTTGTCTTACAGGATGCAAGGTATCTGTGGTCACAAAGTGGAAATCTTGTGTACTGAAATTTTAAAATCTAAATTGTGATAATTCAAACAGAGGATATAAAAGTGTTAGCTGACCAGCAGACAGTTCCCAAGAGAAAATCGAACTGCAGATACTGCTGTTTTGTACAACGTTTAATCATTGTTTTTGAGGTTTCGGCTATTCCTATTAGGGCTTTATGCGTCAAATAGGAAGTATTTATGCAAAATACCACTGCAGCACCAGTAGCAAGGCTAGGCTCTTTTTCAAGAAATAAATATAGGAAGAATTTACCATTCCTTGTTTCACCAATTGACTTTTGGAGCAAGCAGAACTATTGTATAATAAAAGGGAAATTTCATTCAGGCTATAGAATTCTTTCTTAATTAACTTTGTGGTAGCTGATTCCTGCTTCAGAACTGTGACCTGTTGAGTTTTTGTAGAATTTAAAAATTGCTAAAAGGCTTAAGTATTCAGATAGATCAAGTTATTGCTGAACTGTTTAGTATTGCAAAGATATCTCTTTTGGGAATACAAATTGTGGCAATGTGGCTTATTGATTTGTAGAAAAATGCATTTTTCTGATCAAATAAGCCATTTTTGTAGTTTTAATTGAAAGTTAACTTTTTTATGAATTTACATGCTATTAAAATCCAATACAAAGAATTAATTATTAATATTATATATTAGTAATATATTAATTATGAAAAAATTACCAATGAAAGTGTAAATGTCTTTTCCTGTATAATGGTGCTGTCATACTTTTTCCACTGAAATATCACTTCTGTCAGATCATCATTTAAAAAGAATAGAATGATGGTCCTATATATTTTAGTTTTTTTTTTTTTTTTTTTTTACTAATTTTCTAATTTAAGTGTTCTGAGAATGTTCTTCACTGGAAATTATCAATAATGATTTATAACCTTATTAAATTAATATAACAGCTTCATTGATATTTTTGCTAGTCTTTGTCTTAAAGGATGCAAGATAACTATGGTAGCATGATGGAAATCTTCAGTATACTAAAATTTGAAAATCTAAATAAATTAATCCAAGCTGAGGAAAGAACTGTCTTAGGTAATATTCCACACCATTAGCTTTCCAGCAGACAATATTCAAGAGAAAATGTCCTAACCTACAGACATTGGTGTGTTGCATAAAGTCTAAATATTGTTTTCAGTAATTAGGATATGCGTAGTAATGTTTTATGAAGTAAATATAGCACTACATGATAGTTCTAACAGTGAGATATTATATCTTGTTCCTTCAAGAATGTATCATTGCATGTTTTATGAAAAGTGTTTGAAAACATACGCAGAACTATTATACACGAAAGGAAGGGATCGTTAAGGCTGTAAAATACATCATTAACTCCATGAGTGCTAATTCCTACTTGCACAAGTGTTCCTATTTAGTTATTTACACAGTTTAAGAAATCATAAAGTATTCTTATAGAGCCACTCATAACAAGAATATTTGTTATTACAAAGATGCTGTTTTTGGCAAAGTGCTGATTAATGGCAAGGTGGTTTATTTATTTATTTGCATAAAAATACATCTTTTTGTTCATGTAAGGCATTTTTATAGTTTTCATTTAAAATGAATAAATAGAACTTTTTTTTCAAAATTTACTTTGTATCAAAATTTGCTTGATATGATTACTGAAATGAAATATAAAGGATTTGTTTCTTTGTAATAATTTATTAATTGTGAAATAGGACTGCTTAACAAAGCTTAAATATTGTATATTCTTTCCAAAAAATACCACAGAGTTAGATCATTATGTGTTATTAAAAAAAAAGTCTGATGCATCCCCATGACTTCCTTGTATGGAATATTAAATTATATGCATTTTTTGATGCATTTCACTTAAACTTATTTCCTCGAATTTCAGTAGAATTAGATTTCTCATTCAATTAGTTCAGTTCTCACTTTCCGACAAGGCAAAAATACATAAAACCTCAAAATATGTTCATTGAAAATTGAAAGATTTAGGAAAACATAAAACTCCAAATACAGTTAAAACTATTTAAAAAAAATAAATTACAAATCCAATTAGAGGATCTATGCAACAAGCAATTCGGCCAGCAGGCAAGAAGGCAAATTTTTTGGTGCATAAAACTAAAAGCTTCCTTTTGGTCCCGCTCAGCAAAAAGACACAAAATATGCAGAAACTGACTTAATTCACTATTCTGCTAATCAAATGTAAACAAATATCACTGGTATGGTAAAAAAAAAAAAAAAAAAAACGCTTAGCTGCAGTTAAACAACATTTAAATTGTTGATAATTCTACAACTGTTATATCTAGATTAACTGAGGCATAAAAACATTAGCCGGAAGATAAGAACAACATAATTCAATCATTTTTAATGCAAAAAATGCACAATTTACCAGCATATAAGAATAAAAAAAACTGTGCTAACAGAGTGGATATATATATATATATATATACACACACACCAAAAAAAGGGGTGCACAACTACATGTTATAGCAGTCCTGTATACAAAATTTCGTTGTTTTGAGGCCACTCATTTTTGAGTTATGCGAGATACATACAGACACCATGAAAAAAATCTCTTCTAAATTCATTTTAAATCAGTTTTATAATTTCGTTTGGGGGAAAAGAATCCTTTATTCTGTCCTTACGTATAGGTGTCACGCAAAAACATCATTAAATCGTATTCAAAAGCATTCAAAATAGATATTTTTGTTTAAATATGATACCCGGAATTTTTCATGATTACAATACTTCCTTTACTTTGTACAAGGAAGTCAAAAGGAGGAAATGATGTGCCTACACATTTTGGACTTTAATTTATGTAATTCCCAAAAATGAGAATGTTCTTCATAAACAAATTTAAATTAGTAAATTTGTTAAATTAAAATAGCTTTGTTGATATTTTTGCCAGTCCTTATTTTATAGGCGGCAATTTGGAATCTTTAGTCGAATGAAATTTGAAAATTCGAATGTACTAGTTCAAGCTTAGAAAATGACAGCTTTAGGCAATAAGCATAAAACAACTGCCAGTTGTTTTTAACATTAAGAGGATGGAAACTGTTGGAAAGTATAATTGATGTGATTTTGATATTTGCATCAGAATCTGAATAGTGGTTAGAAAGAAATTATACAAGCTTCCAAAATCATAGGGACTTTTGCAATTCCAGATGTTTAGATCATCAATTTAAATCTAGTCAGATGACATGTAGAAATAATAAGTTGAAAGATATGAAATAGTTATTTATTAAATAATAAAGCATGTATGATCTTAGAGAATCTGTTAAAAAAAGCTCAATATTCTTTTTGTTCTATTTTTGTAAACATAAGTTCCTTATGCTGTTTCATTTTTCATGTTAATAAAAATCTTTTTAGTTTTATAAACAGACAAAATTTCTTCCTCGGTTCAGGTATTCAAGTTCTGTCACTGACATGTCGAAAATTCCCACTAAATTGCCAGTTAATTAATTTTTATTCTCACCAACTCTCTATCACTTTCTTCACTATCACTAGTGATATTTTCTGGATATAAAAACTTTACATATTTAACCATCTGTTACATGATTGGTGATTGGGGCATTATCATTGAATTGGGAAACTTCTGGTCTTATCATCCTTATTTATTATCACTTCTCCACATTTTTTCACAAATTCCATTACTTGGAAAATTTTGGCTTTTGCTTATGATACCTGAAAAACCTTTATATTCACAGCTATCATTGTCGTCATTTGATAGCTGGCCATAAATTATGCTAAGTATTTATTTAATCTCTGCAGACCCATCCTCCCATGACATTGCAGTGTTCCATGTAGCAAATTTCATGTTAAAGTATTCCAAAAATTCTTTAATGAATGTGGCGCTGTTCAGTAAATTTAGCACAGAATTTGAAAAAGCTACTTTTCTACATTTCAGAGCATACAGCATGATATCCATTGGCTGAATGAAGGATGTGTAATTTTGAAGGAAGGAATAAAATAAATAGTATCTTTTACACTTTAACTCAAGTATGAGCTGAATAATTGTCTATAATGAGGAAAGATTTTGCATCATACAGTAGTAAACAAACCGATTTCAAGCATTGGGTATGGAATAATTTTCAAACCAGTCATTCATTAACGTTTATGTCTTCAGTGTTGTTTTATTTGAATGACAGATGACAGGAAAAATCTTTATCCCTTAAATGCCCCAGATGATTGCATAACTTTCCCACATTTAAAAAGTTTACTTTGATCAGCATTTGTTCATGCAAAAATCATTAATCTCCCTTTGAAATGTTTGACACCATTTCTTTTCTGTTGAGGTCGCCGTATCTTGAGGCACTTGAGACCAGTTGTTCAGTATTATAAATTTGTACTGGAAGTAATTTTCACTATCAATAAGTTTGATGAATTTATCCGCAAACTGTTTTTATATGTATATTTGTTTATTATTTTTCTATGTTTGTAAGAAATAATTTTTTGTTTTTTGTTTTTCTACCCATCTTCCCCTAACCCCATTATTTACGTGATGAGGTAACCTTGTTTAACGATGTTTCATATTGCGCTCTACTTTTGGAAAAAGGGGTCTTACTGTACTTGAAATTTATAAACTAACAATTACTTCATTGTTTAGGCAATTTTATAACACAAGCTTCTAAGAGCTTGTTATGCCATGGGTCATATGTAATGTCTAGAGTTAATTCTGAATGGGCAAAAATGTTAACAAGCTCATCTTGTCAGCAGGACCATGAGTGCATGAAGCTACTCTGTCAGTACAACAAATGCGTGGTTAGGTGTCTATCAAGAGCTTCAAGCATCATATGAATGCAGATGTTTTTATGGGTACAGAGAGTCGGGGTGGGTGAAAGTGTGCATTCTCTTAACTGTATGTCAAATGTAGAACCCTAAAACTGAGTATGATGGATAACTTGCTTGTAACCTGCAGCAAAGACAGAGTGCACTGATACTGGCCATAGTAAACTTTTGCTTCTTTTTAAATATTCATTATTGTTCTTTTGTTAAATTGTATTCCTGATAGACAGAACAAATATTTTACTTAACTCTATTCATAAAATGCTTTGCAATTATAAAAGTAATATCTGTGTTGATTCTTTTTGTGACTGCATATAATAAATAATTTTTTTGTACTTTTTATTGCATCTTTCCTTTGTAATGTGTAATTTCTATGATGCATTATTTTTAATATTATATTGTATCAGATTAACATTTTTCAAAAATTAAGATGTGTATGTTTAATTTTTCCTAGTTTGAATTGCCAAAGTAGCCCAAATGAATTCCGGAAAGTAGGAGCATTTGCTCCATCAAATAACTTACCAGATACTGGATTATTTCCTGAGCTGGCAATACTCGAAAAGCCTTTTCTGAATTTGTCAAGGAGCAAGTTGCATCATTCAGAGAACAAGCAAAAAAATGATGACTCAAATAGAAACTCTGACAAAAATGCTAATTTAAATCTGGTTGATAACAAAAATGGCAGCGAAGTGGATTACAATTGCAACGCTAATGAGAAAGGTGGCCAAAAATTGACTTGCAGTGATTTCTCAGACTGCGAAGATTTTGTCATGGTAGAGCTGGTAAACACTATCCTATACATTCAAAATCCGGACACCAGTAAAACAACATGCAAAAAAGAGAATTGGTCTTTCATTATTTATTAATGAAAACAAATTCTACTTGATATCCTTTTTAGAAAATGCAAAGTGATGTTTGAAATTCTGTGAAGGAGGTCTAATTTTAGAGAAATAGGATGCATACAAAAGGAATTGGTTTTATATGGAAAATGTTGTTTTGAAAAATGAGATAGAATTGAAAATTTTAAAATTCCTTTCATTACAGTTCTGTATTTTCTCAAACGTAGTGTAATCAAAGTAAAATATATTCCAGAATTCTGCAAGCAGCTTTATCAGAGAGTTTTGGGGTACTTTATACTTTAATGTCACTTATTTGAAGTAGTGTTTATAGTGATACTTGAATTTTAAGGAGCGTTTTGTGTATTAGAAAAATTTATGGTTCATGTATAATAAAAATTTAAGCAAGTATTACTCATATTAGAAATGCATTATCTATGCCATAATCTTTAAATTTGATGTTAGATCCTTTTCATTGTTTAATATATCAAAGTACACTGCTGGCCATAAAAATTCCAACACCATGAACGAAAGCAAATACAAAAAAGATACTTACTGTACGTAAAAACAGTATGGCATAAAGACAAAATGATTAAATTTGTAAGCAGTTTGTATGTTTACATGTGTGCAAAATTAGTAGAAACAGCTGTCGCCCCTGGCAGCTAAAATGGCCCTTACCTAGTTATGCATGGAGTCAAACTGGGCTTGGATGACAGAAATGGGCAACTCATTCCATGATGCTTCAAGTTTATACCACACTTAATCAACGGTATTAGCTGGAGAGAGATGGTACCAATCTGCATTTAAATTACTGTCAATCTGAACTAGGGATGTGCTTATCGTGCACCCAATAGCTGCCCAAACCATCACACCAGGTGCAGGGCCCCTATGTCAATATGAAATGAAAGCAAGCAATGTGGTTTCCTCAGAGAACATATATGGCCATCAGAATACTGGACACAGAATCGGGATTTTTCTGAAAAGACGACATTGTGCCACTCCCGTATCCAGCTTTGTCGCTCTGTGCACCACAGTTGCTGTCTTTCTCTATGCTGCGTTGTCAAGGAAAGCCAAATTAATGGTCACCATGTTGATGGGTCACGCTGCTGCAAACGTCGACACACAATATGAACGGATACTGGGTGTGTTGCAAACATGCCCATTTCCTGACTAATGGTCTGTTATGTGGTTGTACGGTTTTGCCAGGACTGACCTCACAATATGTCTGTCCTCTCTGGCGTTAGTCCTGATCCTGCAAGCCATTCAGTATGACCCTTAGCAACCCATTGATTCCATATTTGAATGACAATGGTTGGATGTTGACCAGAGCGACAGGCGATATCGCAAAACAATAATCCATACTCTCGATAGGCAGTGATCCTGCCTCTGTCGAATTCCCATAGTTGCTAGTAAGCTTTTCTTATTTGTGGCAGAACATGATATTCTGAGCAAACTCCTACCTTACAAAGCACATTTCGAATGACAAATCCAGTACACAACTTTTCTTTCATGCAGTGCTTCAGATATTGTTTTTCCCTCCTGTGTCATCTAAATGCTCTGAAATATTAATCATTCACATATCCCGACCTCTTCTTCTTTTCTTGTAATTTTGACGTTTGTCAGATCACTCCTTCCTGGTGTTGCAATTTTAATGGCCAGCAGTGTATTTTTCTAATACTACAGAGGTTGGAATGAATACTTAAATAATGAACTTATAGTTAATCTTGAAATTATTTTATCATAAATAATTTAAAACAGACTAGAATTTTATTTGAAGATTATTAGATATATCATTATATTAGAGGACGTTGGATAGATATTTTATCAGATACCATGCCTGATGATTATGTCCGATTCATCTGCTTTTACCAGCTTTTATCTTTTTAGTAAAAAGACAGTTTCTGTTTGCATGGAAAGTTTATATATGGAAGGCTGAAAGCTTTTCTTAAGCGACTTTATTTTACTACTAAATTACAAATCACGAGGAAATTAAAGCTGTGGTGGGCACACTATGAATCTAAAATTGAGAATAATAGATAATGATTAATGTACTTACATGGAAGTAAGGATGTTTAGCTTTACTGCTAAAATGGCATCACCCCCCTGAAAAAAAAAAAAAAAAAAAAAAAAAAAGAAAAAAAAATTGAGACAGCCTGTTGTAGTTTCAGAGCTCCTAAAATGAATTTATTTATATTCCTTCATTATTACTAGTTTCCTTTGAAGTAATTTTGTTCATAGCTGAGAAAGAGTAAGCATCAATAAAAAATTTTATTTCATAAATTGTTCAGTCAGTTTCTAACAATGATTTTGAAAATAATTTGCTTCTTTTGCAATTTATGCATGTTTATGGGGTGATATTTTTAACGGTTTGATGCAAAATTCACGGAATGAATACCGTATTTTGATGATGTTAAATTACAGCCCTTTTTCAGCATGCGTTTCCTAGCAGGTAAAATATAATAATTGTGATAGTTGAAACAATAATATACATCAGTTTATTTACAGCATCCTTTTTTAGAGTGCTGTTGATAATTAGACATTTTTTTTAAATAGTAGCTGGGCAGTTTAGTATGATAGGAATAAACTGCATAGGTGGGATGTTTTGGTGCATTACTTTCTGAGAGGGGAAGTAAAGTTTATATTACATGAAGAGCTTTACATGCAGATTATTAGATGATTATGATTTAGGAATTAGATCAGTCATATGATTCAAAATAATTCATCCAATTTTAAATAAATTTACCTATGAAATTTAAAATAGTAATTATTTATGCAACAAACAAAAGAAAAACTACCCAAGTTTTGCATTTCATTTGTGTAACTATGTGACTTCTGTAGTTTTATGAACACCACCCAGATTTGATTTTATCCAAATACATGGTGTGGGGGTTTTGTCACTGACTCGTTAGCAGCAAGTGTTTTTTTGAGCTCATTCAGAGTTACTTTGGACTCAAGGACAAAGGATGCATATGTGTATGGAATAAATTCAAATATAATCTCAACACTGTTCAGGTAAACTTATCAGAAGTCATATGGTGAGCATTTAAAAAGATTAAAGTTAGAACTTTTTCCTTTTTTGATGCATCACACTTTATTCCTTTAAATTTGAAATTGCTCATCCTCTGCTTAATGCCAATTCCTGACACATATCTGAAATTGGTAGTCTCTGAGAATATTCAATATTCAATAATTCTGATTCTAAATTAGTTCAGGCAACTAATGTATGAAAAAATCTGACAAATCAAATTAATTTGAATTTATTTAATAGCTTAAAGTGTGAAACACAGCAACCTGCAGTTGCATTAGAATTTAGTTCCGAGAAATTTACGTTTTTTTTTTTAAATCGATGACAGTATCAAGATAGTGGACATATTCAGTTTACAAGTACTTCAATTTCTGATGCATCCTAACAAAAACTAAAATTACTCTCTTTTGTATCCAAACAGTAAATTGCTAGAAACTTTACTCAAAGCTATAAAAGCCAGTAATAAATCTCCGAAGCATCAACTCTCTCAATTACTGAAATACCATGTGTGAAAATTTACTATCTATCAATGTATAAAAATCCCCAAACAGATTTTTATTCAGATCATAAAATTAATGATAGACTTGTATGTTGTGGGCCTTAGATAATTTTTGTAAGTTATTTTAACTGAAAATTCACAGTTAGAAGATTAATACTATTGTTTCACATTAACATACATTTATCACAGAATTTCAAAGTTATTGTAGTTCTAGTTAATGTATTTTAGACTGAAATATCATGGTGGAAGGATTTGAATGAACCCCTTTTTAAATTCTCATTTTTGCATGTACTTTATTTATCTATTCTAATTAAAGTTAATAAATTTATGCATGAATAAAATTTCTCCTTTTTAATCAGTTTACCTATGTTGCCTTTATTATTATGTTTTCCCTTTTAATCTTTAATAATCTCACATTGAAGAAATAAAATTTTTAAAATGTGTCCGAGAATAAATTATATAAAATTTGCATGATTATATTTTAACGTAAATTGCATAAAAAAGTTGAATTGTCATGTACCTTAATCTTTTTGTTACTTACAGAAACCTCCATTTGCTGACTGTGATGGTGATAATGATCTAGGAGCTTTTTTTAGAGAATGCCAAAGTGCTCCACCCTTAGCTTCTTTTGCTCTTCAGCCAACTTTAGAAGAACAAGTAACAGACATTACTAGTCAGTTAGTGAAATTTGAAACTAGTATGAATGACTTTGATAATTTTGTTGATTCTATATGTCACATTGATACTGAAAAATAACACTGGTGCTGATGTTAATTAAAATGAAATCTGAATAAGTAATATGCAGAATATAAATGAAATCATTTGAATATTTTATTTGAGACAATTTCAAAGACTAATTATCAGCATACTTCCTGTTACATGTTATATAATTTTTGTTAATCTATCAATCTTCTTCACATCCTGTATATCTGCAAAAATATTAAACTCAATATAAACTAGTTTTGTTATTTTTGAATTCACAAGCAAAATCTTGACACACAAAAAAAGACACTTATAATGCAAAAAATGCTAGCAAAAATCATGAATTTTTTAACAGAGCTATTTGTATTTATGTCATTTTCACTGATCTTTTTTTTACGCCTTTTCTTTCCCTCCTGTTTCCTTAAGAAGCTCTCAAGTTCTTCTTGTTGTTTTTCTTTCTCGAGCTTCTTTTTCTGAAATTCAGCACGTTCTAAAGCTGTCATTGATTCTTTCTGTATGAAACATTCAGAATCACACAACAGATCTGTATTATCTTTAATCTGCGTGCAACATCGAATTTCCTTTTTCTTTCTTTTGCATGAACATCGAAGAATAATTTTCTTTTTACAATTATCTCTGTCAGCACAAGGTCCAGGGTGACATGGGAAAATGCAGCGATGACCACACGACATCTGTAACAAAATCTTGAAATTAATATGAAATAATTTTCTTCACAAGGAAATGTAGAAAGATCGTAATTAATATAACTGGGATAAAACTTTGATAATAAAATTGTGTCAGCTTGGGAAAATAAAGATTTTAGGAGATGAATGATATTCTAAATTGCAGTGAAATTCCTATTTTAAATGATTTGCACAATTATTAAAAATTAAACAATAAATTACAAAATGTTATAGAATACAATAATACACAATAATTTAATTTGTAGATTTATGACAGTAATCAAGAATGTATATATGTAAGACAAATATTTTCATAACATTTAAATAAGAAAATCATGCTAGACAAGTGACTCTATACAAGTTTTGTGCAATGAACTCCTTTCACCATTGCTAGATGTTCACCCCCCTTTCCTTTCTCAAAGTCTAAAAAATGCGTAAACATTTATTTACGCATTTCATTTTTTCATCATTTCTTAATCTGTTTTATAAATTAAATAAAAAGATATAGAAAATGTTGATAAATACCAAAACTAAGTTTTTTAAATTTGTAAACTAAAATGAAATATTTAATGGGTAAAATAAGACAGCATTCTTCGCTGTAATTATGAAATTCTGTCCAGCTTGAGAACTCCTAAACTGAACAATCTGCATCAAAAAAAGAAAATTTTTTGACAGCTGCATCAAATGTTAATAATACTCTAAATAATCTAGTGATGAAAGTTTTGCACTGAAATAAGTCCTATGCTTTGCTTCCATCAAGAGACTTATTTTCACCTTTAATGGTTCTTTAGAATAAATTTGAATACTTTTGCCCCTTTGATTGTGCTACTTATTTGCCACTCATTTAAATCAGTATCTTCATATTGCAGCTTCAAAATTTAATGCGTTAAAACATAGCCCTTTCTCGGTAAACCCACTGGGTTTCCCCCCTCCCCCAAGAAAGCTTTGATTATAAAATTCCTGAAGGTAGCCAGCTGAGTTTCAACACAGTTGATTCATACTGCACCTAAACAGCACAAAACAAAGTGTTCGTATGGTGAGTACAAAACCCTTTCCTTTCAATTTAGACTTTGCAACGCTAAGCATGCAGCAGTACAGTTTAAATCAAAGTAAATATATTACTATTCTCCATAAAATTGTTTCTTGCGTTAGTGTTCCTTTTTAAAAAATGTTTGTTAAGATTTGACTTGGGTTTCATTTTTATGTATAAACATCTACAGTTATTAATTTAGACTTGTCTACATAAATAGTAGAATTGAATCCTGCCAAAATCTCTTGGATGGTACAACCAGGCATGCTTGTCTTTTCAGGATATTTTTTCCCAAGAATTTAACCGACAAATTTAACATATTGAAAAAAAGCATTATATTTTGAACATCGCAGGATGCAGTGTACATCTTTGCATAACCAAATTAAGAAAAGCTCACTTTTTGTCTCATCTTGACCCCCCTTGGGCTCAAGCGAAAATTCCTCTCATAAAAATAGAAACTTAACTATGAAGAGATGCTGTGATGCTATAGCAATTCCTCCCTAATATTGGTGAATTACATTACATAAATATCAAATAAATACAGAGCAACAATCATACAGATTGTAAATAATTCTTATGTTAAGGTACATTGAGGCTAGTGTAAAAACACAGTACAAGAACTTAAATCACACTGGTAAAACTTGAAATGATATCTCTAAATTCAACACAGCAATTATTCCTACTTATTAAAATAGATATAATTTGATAGTTTCTAAATATAAGGAATATATAATTATACATTCATTCTCTCTCAATAAGAAAAACCTTCTGAATACTTATTTAGTTATTTCTGTAATTGGTTTCTTTTTGGAGATCCTAATCTTCCTTCTAAATTACTATTTTTAATAACATCAAAATAATCAAACATTTGGACTGGTATCAGTACAAGGAAAATTTATTTTTTTGTCAATCTGGTTAACATCATTTTTGATGCAAGCTAAATAATAAATTGCTCCAGATGATAAAAAGATAAGTGGCTTTTTATTTAAATTTACTAACAGTAAGCTTCATATTGATTCTCTCATTCATTCCTCACATACTCGCTGAGTGTGAAAGTATATGCAAATTTCAGGTCAAGTGGCATAAAAATGAATTGTGAAGTAAAATAATAATCAGGCTGACTCATAACAGAAGTTTGACTCAGTGTTGGCTGCTGTGGCTACATGCTTAGAGGCAGAAAGTCGCTGATCAGAGCAGATGTGAAGACCTAACATTGGTATGGTTGATTTAGAAGTCAAACAACAGAAATCAGTGTTATTGAATTTGAAAATATAACACTGATTTTTGTTGTTTGACTTCTAAATTAATATTTGTTCGGCATGTTATTGTATCTTAATTATTGGTATTGTTGGTAAGTGTCAAAAGTTAGCTGCAATTTGTCTGACCCAGTTAGTGCCATAGCTTTATGAAGATGTGCTGGAGTTGTAACCCAGTTATTATATAGTATTTAATATGAAGTTCCAATAAGATGCTGAAGCACCAGAGGTTATAGGTTATTTCACATTACATCTCATTAGCTGTAAGGAATAAAATTTTAATTTTTACATTTTCGTGTTGTATCTTGCATCCACAATAAGGATTAAGGGATAACTCACCTTAACAAGCAGAGATAATTTCTAAGGGTGAGCAGTTAGTTATAATAGATTTACATGGTTACAATAACGAGATAACTTCTAAAGGTGAGCAGTTGGTTATAATATATTCATATGGTTACAATAACATTTTTTTAACTTCTAAAATTATCGCTTGAAAAAGCACTAATAACATTTTACAGCAGTTATTATTTATGATTTCATTCTACAGCAAACAACAAAATATTTATGCATCTGTTTCATTTGAAAAATTTCCAGATATTTTAGCTAATTTACATCAATTTCTTTTTCTTAGCATATTTTCTAAGTTTGTTTCAATAAACAAATCAATGTTCTTTCTAATCTCTGTTTTCATCTCATAATTTGCTGATGTTTCAACAGTGTAACTTTGAAGAATAATTTTCTCTCTTTATAAAATCAATTTCTTTTTCATGATTTTTTTCATTTTTGAATTTTCAGATCCCAGCACTCTTTGTTGGTTGGAAAAATAACACTTTCCATTTTTCTGAAGCCAAAATTATTCAAAAAACATCTTGTATAGGTGAATTAAGTTTTCTGAAGGCATTTCACATTCAAAAAAAAAAAAAAAAAAAAAAAAAATCTTTCCATTCTAGTTAACGAGACTAATTCCAACCCATCTCAGCCTTTGAGGAAATTATGTCTTAGTTTTCTTCTTTCATCAATAGGTGGCGTCAGTAGGACTTCTTTAGAGCCATGTTGTTATCAACATGTTCTATCTCGCTTATTTCACTTAGGGAGCTAAGAAGATGGTTCTGAATTTAAACTACCGAAACTAGTTCTGCAAAATTTACAAATATTACGCTGAATCTTGTTGTTTAACTTCTACAGTAATCTTAATGGGTCCAACTAAATCTATATGCCATACTTCTAAAATATCTTCAGATTACTTGAATTTCACAATTTTTATAAGAACTTTGTCATTTTCCTTAATGTACAAGATTTCACATTTATTCTTGGAAATTTTTTCATTTTCTAATACAATGACTAATAAGTTTCTCTTCATTTCCATCAATCTTTCAGAGTTTAGGTGACCTAGTCTCAGATGCAAAAGTTGCTAATTTTAGCTTTTTTCCATCAACTTCAAATTTGTTTCAATTTCTGTTAGCTATATGTTGAATGTTCCATGTTAATTGGTCACTTCTGCTCTAGTTTTTCTAAAAGTTACTTTTAATCTTGATCTACAATTTTTGGCACTGATAAGTAAATTTTGCTTAAGTTTAGTACTTGCAGAATATGTTTTAATATGCTCTTATTTCTATAAATTTGCATTTTTACAAATACCGACTGATTTGTTCATAGCCTCCTTTTCAGCTGTCAATATTTGTTGTTCATCTTTAAAATTGGCAAATATTTCTTTACTTGTCATGCGAGATGTGGCTTATGAATCTACAATCCATTTAATTTTTCTATTGTCTTGTTTATCAATTTCATTCTCTTCATCATTTCTATATTGATTAAAAGATGAAGTTTCTTCCATTTTCTTATTTACGTTTTGTAAACATGTAGCGTATTCATATTCCCTTTTCTTGCTTCTGCCAACCTCTAAAGATAAAAATTCAGAAGATTTTTCCAAAATTCAGAAGAACACGAAGAATTAATATCATGCTTTGATATTAAAAAAATAACAATTTATACAAATAGAAAAAAGAAAATTGTACTTACATTAGTAAATCTCAATTAAGTAGTAACTAAAAATTTATTAGGAAACATAAAACAAGAACTTAATGTTACACAAAAAAATTATTGCATCGAATTTAGAGTGCATTTTTTGGCTTTGGCTTTCCAAAGAATTTTTGGCTTTTCCTATCATAACAATTAGTTTCCTCATAACATTTAGCAATTAAAATGTTTTCTAGAGTTTTGGTGAAATTGAAGAACGAAACATAGTTTTGCTTTTCTTCACAACACTGAAGACTCTCTCGCACTCAGCATTACTGTGTGGAATTACGAGAATAGCACATAAAACTCTTGCTAGTCTCATGCTCTTGCTAGTAGTTTGATATTGGGATGTTAAGTTGTTTCAACTCAATAATTACCAAGGAGGCAATATTTTCCCCCGTAGCGTCTCCATTTAAAATGGAAGACGCAAAAGATAGTTTTCATTTCATTAGAAATGTCACAGAAATATGTGACAACGATGGGATAAAGCTTCCAATGGCTGTCGTTGCTCCCATCGATGACATCGGCATCTAAATTCGTAGCCGAATTTGAAAAAAAATCATCCACTTTCTTTGACGTTGTCGAAGCCGAAGCATTAACTTCATGCTTTTTAGACTTAACATGCTTCACAATGTCGCTTCTTCCACCGTGACTTATTATGAAGTCACACACGCACACGTTGCAAAATGCATAGTTATTTCCTTTGA